TCTGTTTACTGGATTATGAAAGTCCGTTTCTGTCCATCCTTCTTTTCTACCCCTCTCTGTTGCCTCGAGTTGTAATTAAATATTTCCCTTCTGCTTGCCCTCCAATCCTGCTTACCGGCTGCTCTTTCTGCCGGAATTCACACATTTGTTCTGTGAATACACTCTTCGGTGTTTGCTATGTCAGTATGTGGCAATAATATTGTTGCAAAGAACTGCCCTGTGAACGGTTGAAGGTGGAGAAGGGAATAGAGGACAACAAGAGGTTGTGACTGACTATTCCATTGGGTTTGACTGATTCAGCAGGATGCTAAATATTTTACGATTACCTGTTCTGTTTCTCCCTGGGCCTAAGTGTATACAAATACTGCACATGAGTTATTGAATAGATCTGCCTGACAGGATCTCTTCCGACTGGCCCGTGCTACGGAGCCCAAATGAGAGAGATGATGCAATCAAAGCGGGGCTCTGAGAGATTTTGTTTTTGGCTGTTGTGGACTGAATGTCTATGCTTGTAGTATAGGCATAGAAAGGCGAGGGTTATCTTGCTTTTTACGAGTGTGTGCTATCGCTGGAGTGGGCTGAGTGCAATGATGTGATTGTAGCAGAGCAGGATGGATCCTGTTACTAAAGTTTACCAGTCGCGGACCACATTCCGACAGCCCTTGGTACCCCCCATGGTCACTTCTCTTTCATTTGAATGCCGAAATTGATGGGCTCTGTTTGCTGTCAGGGCGCCAATGTACATGGCCGCCATGTAGTTGTTTCACTGCTGTTGTGGGTGGCCGGCATAGTTGTTTCGCTGCTGTTGCAGGCGGCTGTCCGATGTAATGATGCGGGACGTTCAATGTAGAATGTTTTCCTTCTGACGCCCCATGAGTTTATGTTGTCCTTCTAATTCTGATCATTCGGTCTGTTGGATTCTTCTCATGCCCGCTTCTTACATCACCCGAGACATCCCAAAAGAAAAGAGCAGTGCACGCACGACAAAGTGGCACCCCTGAAAAAACAAACAGCTGACACAAACGTGCAAAAATACAACTGTGGGAAGCCCACTCTTGGCAAGCAGTGTGGTGAGGCCCACAAGGAACAAAAATGACCGATGTGCCCAGCCAAAGGCCTGTGAAGGCACAAAAACGGTTGATGCGAACGCATCCAAGCAAACACACAGAGAGAGAGAGAGAGAGAGATAGAGAGAGAGAGAGAGAGAGAGAGAGAGGTCTCTGCGTTCGAGTTTTGGATGCGTTGTAAACTTCGTGCTGAAAAAGTTGGTTTCTCTCTCTTCTTGTTCTTATTCCCTTCATCTTCTTCTTCTTATTATTCTTGGTAGTCGCTTGCTGCTTCCCTTGCTGTTGTGGAAGTTTCCATTGTGCAGAAACAGGCCTCAAATTCCCAATAGCAACCCACCACCCACCACCCCAGACCCTCAACCCCCTCTCCCCCTCCCCGTCCTTTCTTTCAGGCCCCAACAAAGTGACTGGTTCACATTTTTTAGAGCCGATTCTGCGGGCACACACTTGTACTAGAGTTTTAGGCCCAGTTGGACAGGGAGTGGCTTGTTTGATACTTGACTGTTGTTATTAAATCTATGATTGCAGGATGATGATGGTAATACAACATTACACATTGCTGCGGAAATGGCGGTGGTTCAGGAGAACCTATATTGGCTTGGGGTCATGCTCCAGAGAGAGGATGCGGATGTTGACTGCAAAAATCATAGGTATTCAAAACATTTCAAGAACAACAGGAGGAAGGTGCGATTACAGAGAAATGAAAGTAGAGAAGAACTGCACCAAGACATTTTGGAGAAAAAGAGAAATGGAGATGTAAAACAACTGGATGGTTCAATAACTGGGATAACCTGAGTTTAGGACATGTTTTTAGGAAACCGATATCCCACATCCACTTCTGAAGCTATCAGAGTTCTATGACTATTGAGCTTTTGTGGGGAACAATATGGAACCACTTCATTAACATATCCAAAAGAGAATCACTACAGTTTAATGCAGTACAAAATTCAGTGAAGTGCTCCCGTCCATCTGAAGCATAAGGACGAGTGTTGTGGCTGGGGAGCCAAAAATATGTAAATGTGTGGGCCTTTTGGATGGAGAGTGTTGATTAATTGTACGACCATCCGCTTGGGTGTGTGAGAGCACCCTCTGGGTTCTGACCGTCTGGGTGTATAGCTTAACTCGGAGACCGAGGGCTTTGTCCCTATTGGTCGCAGGTTCAAATCCTGCTATGCCCAGTTGTTGCATTCAGATCAGAACCTGGGAAGGTAGCTGGGGAGGAGAAACAATTCAGACTCTTACCGCTACCACTCTGAAACAGTAAATGACCCGTGTGAAATAAGAGAGGTAAGAGTGTGCTTGGGCGCTGGTTTCAGTATCATCTGATTGCCAAAGAAGAAGACATAATCCACCCTAAGTGAGATGATTAGAGATGCACAAGCAACTGTTCTGATTGTTGTCGTTCCATGATTTGTTTTTAAACTTTTTTTCCTTTTGTGAGCTCCGTTGTGCTTGTGTTTCGTACTTTGTCTTCTTTTTCTGATTGATGGTTCGTGAAGGTCGCGGAATTCTGTCTTCGTATTGCGATTGATGGTTTGTGACCGTCCAGGATTCCGAGGATAGAAAGGAAGCCTTCGCCGCACTGCCGTTTCAGTGTATTTTGTTCCTTTTCATGCATTTTGGTCTCTTCTCCTTGACATCGTGTCTGATCTCTTGTGATCCTCTTTTGCATGGGAGGTAGTGTGAGGCATGCTTGCTTTTGTGTCCTCTCTGATTCGAGGATTTCCTGTTTGCCTCGGAGTCGTGTTTTTCTTCCAGGTTCTCAATGGTCTTGGACCTGTTTTTCTTGAGTTGTGATTAATATCGATAGCCTGTCCCCCTCTTTGTCATTTCCCCCCTCTTGTCTCAAGTCCTGATAATTTCTCTGCTTCTACATGGCCCTAAAGCCAGAGGAAACCTAGTCTGAAACGACTACTTCCTTGAAAGAATGCTTTTCTCCAGATTTTGCCGGGGGATGAGAGTGCTATTGGACGGTCTCGTGGCAGTCTATAGCTCCATGGCATTTGTGCCAAGATACTTTGGCCATAGTCCACTGTCAGAGCAAATATGCCAGGCTCTTGCAGGCAAGGCCCAATGTTTGGTGAGCCAAGGTCGGCCGAAATACATTTGGGGGCATTGGTGGTTTAAGAGAGTATGAAGAACTGGTAGTCTTGCCCAATGTTTGGTGAGCCAAGGTCGGCTGAAATACATTTGCGGGCATTGGTGGCTGACGAGAGTATGAAGAACTCATCGTCTGACATGGATAGTAATAACGTCGTCTTGCTGAAGTAGGGTGAATGAGGTCTTCAAGGCAGTGATGGGGCTTGTTGGGTTAACAATTGCATTGCCAGACTTTAGAGTCGTCAAAGTATGGTTTTGCCATTGCAAATTTGAAGCAAGCTTTTTTGTTCTAATAAATCGGAGGACAGCTGTATCAGGTACTCTATGGCTTCCGAGGACAGTGTTGTTGGATACTGAGTGCATGCCCCATGTTTTTACGAGTTCCTTGGCGTGTCCTTGACTTACAATTTGTCCTGCTGTTGCATGGATGATGGCTGGCAGTGGTCAAACGGTCAAGGATCTCCTTGAAGGCTTACCTAGGGAATGGATCTCAGAGGATTTGGAACAAATCCTGATGTCCCGGGGAATTGTGCTTGCACCAACCATGTAAGTTCTTTGCTACTGACCTCTCGACTCCCTATCTCAGCCTCCGTAACACTCCCGCTGCATCCCACAGTTGTTACTGCATGTTGTTGTCTTTGTTGTACATCGCAGCCACTCCTTTCCTGAAAGACTTTTCCAAAGTATAGAACACACTCGGTTCGAACCACTGAGCATTTGCAGCTGAACATCACAAAAGCGAAGAACCGCAAAACCCATGGTTCCAGCTGCAAGGAACTGTCCCAACCTCACGGCAGTACAATCGCAGATGACGCTAATTCTCAACAAGCATGATGAAGAGGGTGCCACAAATCGAGTATTTGAATTTATTTCATTTTACACAAATTTACAGCGATTTTGTTGTTTTTGTATGTTGTAGTCACCCTTTGCGGATGTGTTTTTTTTAGTTCATTATTTCATTAAATTCATTTTCATTCAGGATTTAATTCAATTAATTGAATTTGATTTGGAATTTGGATGTATATTTTGTTCTCATTTCTTTCCCAATCTGGAGTGTTGGCTTCAATTTTCTTTTTTTGTTTCAGAAAAAGGAACATGCTGGAATATTTATTGTTAACACCTGCGCTGCTTTTAGAAGTATCCACGAGTTTAAAAGTATTAAGATCTGGTTTGTTGTTGTTTGCAGATTTGACCCTGGTGACTGGGTGACGTTTAGGCGTTTTGTAGATGAATCCCTTTATGACTGGGGTGAAGTGATGCCCAGGTCAGTGGGCCTGGTTCTGAGTGTTGACAAGGAGGCCTCTGAGCTCATTGTGACGTTCTGTGGGCATGAGATGCAAGTGTCGCCCAAGGATGTGCGGAAGATTGTGCCATTTGAGAGAGGACAGCATGTCAGAGTGAAGGCTGAAGTCAAACAGCCCAGGTAGTCCGCCCTCAATTTTGCACACTGCCCTGTCGACTCTCCTCTCCTTTCTTTCCTTCTTTTGGTTTCCAAAATTATATTTCACCAGATAATGGTTGTTGCTGTCTTTTTCACCTAAAACTGAACGGGCGCGATGCAGTTTTTTTTCCGTTTCCCCAGTTTACTGGTGGTTTAAAGGGGAGTTTGCTGGTGTGAGTGGGCCGCTCCACTTGGCTCCAGGGACTGAACATAGAAAAATGACCATTTCTCAATAGTCCAGAGCCAAGGGAGAGCAGGAACCTATTCTGCAAGGAATATGAGTGTGAATGATATACAGAAAACCAAGTTGTGAAATCACACAGATGTACAGGTAGTCATGTCCAAGCAGAGAGTACAAAATGCACCGAGAAACCATCTAATACAATGAAGTAATGAGCCAATGTTCAAGCCCGTAGGCCACACCAACACGGTATCCAAAGTCGCTCCTTTCTGTCTGGCGCCCAGCGCCCTGCCTACTCTACCCGACTATCCTATCTGCGGCTGGTTCACGCAACAGTCTCACTTCGACTCTCGAAGACCAATGTACATGACTGTCAACACCATAGCTGACTTCTCTTCATGCACGTGGTACGTATCTCGTCACCCTCAATCAGACCTTGATAACCCCACACTCGCCTCCTTCCCTGAAGACCACCAGATCGTCCTTATTACCCCCTGGCACCCAGCAGCCCGGCTATGGCCGCCTTCGCCCCGCTGCCCTGCAGCGCCCCACTTCATCGCTATGCACCCCGTCAGCACCCTTGGCCGCAGCGCAGCAGCACTTCTGTGTTGCCTGCACTGGCCAGAATGCCTGGCTTGGGCCTGGATGCTGCGTGTGGCCTGGCTGGAAGCTTCCAGTAGCTTCCGGTAGGGCCTCAGGCCCGGGACTACAATTGAGGGCCTGGGCCCTTTTCAGTTGGGCACGGCCTGAGTTTCCAGACTTGAGCTGTTTGCTGCATCTGTGCAGGGCTCCCAGGTAGCTGCGTCGGAAGTACTGCTTTAGCAAAGGTCGATGGCCTGCTTCCCAATGTATCGGCCCTGCTTTGTGTGTATGTGCCCAGGCGCAACTCTCAAGGCCTGGGCCAACTGTACGATGCAGCTTAGTGAGTGTTACATGCTGCGCCTGCAACAGGCTGCACGGGCCATTTTCAGGCCCGTGTCGTTCTCAGCCTGAAAGCCTGAAAACGACGAGGGCCTACAGACCCCATGTTGTTTTCAGGCCAAAAGCCTGAAAACAAGGGCCTACAGGCCCCGTGTCGTTTCAGCCTAAAAGCCTGAAAACGAGGGCCTACAGGCCCTGTGTCGTTTCAGGCTAAATCAGGGCCGTTCCGGCCCTGAGTATGAGTATTTTCAGCCTGAAACTGAGGGCCATTTTCAGGCCATCATCAGATCGACCTGCCCTGAAACTCAGGCACCAGACCAGGGTTTAGCTCAGGCCATTTTTGGCCTATTTTCAAGACAACCTTTGTTTGAGCTTCAACCCCAGGGTCTGGCACGTGTTGGCATTGGCAAGAGCAGCCTCCTGGACGGGCCAGCACTATATAAGACTGGCCCGCCCTGCAGGCTGCAGGTAGTGGGGAGGCTGCTCCTAGGTACTTCCCAGGCACTTCACGTGGAGGCAGGAGGCAGTCAGTAGTTTTCAGGATCGGCAGCAGCACTCTGGAGGAGCGCTGCAGGAGTAGTGGTAGCGTTAGCAGTAGTCTTCAGCGCTGGGCGCTAGTAGCGTTAGGTGTAGTCTTCAGCACTGGGCGCCATAGCTAGAATAGTACTAGAGAGAGAGATTTTGGGCGGAGGCCAGGGATACTTACCTGCAGCGCCGTTGCTCCAGCTTCGTCTTCGAGGTACCTGCATCACAGCGCCAACTTCACAGGTTAGTACCTCGCTCGTGAGAGAGAGAGTTCTTCTTCTTCCTCTTCTCAGTCCACCATCTCCCTCTCACCCTCTCATTATCTGACTTCACTGCATCAGCAGACTACTAGAGAAAGAGAGAGAGAGAGAGCTTGGTGACATTGGATCCAGACTCGACTTTTGGGCTTCAGACATTTCGACGAGGGATTATTTGGGACTTGTGACAACAACTTGGTGTTGACGACATTCCCATCTCTCCCCCTCTTCTTCGTTTGATCCCCTGCTCTTCGTCTGTGTATGTCTGGACCTGGCGCTTCCTTCCTGTGTATAGCGCCAGGCTCCTTCACACCTTGTGATGAGCATGATGTATGTTTGGTCTGCGTTGAAACATCGATTGGGCTAGTCATAGTATTCTAGCACTCTGCTTCGCTATCTTGTACTACGTGATAGAGGTCAGTCTCGGTCAGGTCAGGTCTTGTATCTAAGTCTTCCCTGCGCTATAAAGCACCATTTTGTATGTATGGGAATGCACATTGCTTGTTGAGATTCTACTTGCACTGCATTGTCCATTCAGTCCTTTTTATCACATTGCGGATCCTCGGTTTTCTATGTACATCGCCCAACTGGGCATGTAACAGTGAGGCTCATGCGTCTACCCGACCAACTGGCGTGCTGCGAGAGCCCGAATACCCACATATGGAAATGTCAAAATTTGGCCTTCGACGAATATTCAGGCCCGCCTTCACTTAGGGCGGGCACTCGGCTTGCTGGGGCCTTAGCCCAGAACATGTGATGTCTGATAGGGCCCCTTGAGGGCTCGTTCCTCACAATTCTCCCATCGTCTGTACCAGGTCATTGCCTAAAAGAGTGCAGGTCGGCTGACTGGCGATATGCCTTCTCATCAAGAGTCACAGACTACACTTCACAAGCCCTCCTTGAGGGCAAGCACCAACTGGCCATGGTCTTCTTGGCTCTGCACTCCCTCCCTTACTTTCCCAACTCCTCTTGGACAGCATCAGTCCTTGAGGTTTCATGTAAGGCAGCAGGCACTGTCATCTAGCACTAAGAGCTGCGCGCTTCCAGGATTGCGGGCTTGCATCCTGATGATGTGGATGGCACCACCAGCTTGGAACAGGCAAGAATGCGAGAGGAGATAAAGGCTGCTACTGATGGTAGGACAAGGATGAAATGTGCAATTGTGTGTGTGTGTGTGTGTGTGTGTGTGTGTGTGTGTGTGTGTG